CACTGGCAAGAACCCGGCAAGCTGAAAAGTCCTTGAGACCTCAGTGCCAACCACAAACATCAACTTGCTATCAGCATTCTTCTCAGAGCGAGCCTCTGAGTAAAACCAAAACACGGAGCTCTTCTAGCTGCTAAAAAGAAGAGCTGACTCTGTCCCAGCTAAAACCAGGACAGCAGTTCTCTTAAAACGCATTCTGGGCATGACGGTATTCATGTATTTTATATATATATATATATATGCATTTTACTACTCTTAGTATGTACATGAATAAATTCTTATGAACCCTTTTTAGAATAATGTTATCTCATTCTTGTAGAGGGTACAATGCAGGTGGAGAATTTTTATCTTTAATCTTTTCCAAGGTTTATATTGTAAGCTAGTGAGACAAGTGATGCTTAGTTTCAGTCTTAATTCATAGTTCTTCGTTCCAGACTCTCTTGCTTCTGACAAATTAATCTTTCCTATTTTATCAGCAGTATCTTGTTACATAGCCATGGAAAATTAAGAATATTAGGAAAATTTATTAATATTAATGCAGTAAGAATATAATTTTTCCCTCAGCCATGTTGAGGATGTCAGAAGATCATGTGCTTCCAGAGCTGAACAAGGTAGTAGTAACATTTTCTAACAACTGATGGTATACTCTGTATTCTGCTTGACTTAGAGGGCAAGATTGAAGGTTTATTTTTGATTCATAACTTAAAGAATAGTGTCTGTGTCATTTATTTGAGAAAGGTGATGCCTGCAGAGTCACACTAATATGCTGTCTCACAGGAATTACTTTTTCTGTTTTCTTTGTTAATACTGCTCTTTTTAGTATACTGTATGTGAACGCGAGGTCTCTGTGTATAGCAGCTCTTTATATGCCCTAAATGACAAAGTTAACCCGAATGGGATTTTAACGTTTTTACCAACGCCCTGGTGGAGGAGCTGGAATACACCTGCATCAGATTTGCAGACATCATCACACTTGGTGAACCAGTTAATACGCTTAAGGGCAGAGACGCCTTCCAGAGGGAAGTAGATATATAGGCTGGAGGAATGGACAGATAGGGACCTCCTGAAGCCCAACAAGGACAAATGCAAGGTTCTGTCCTGGGGAAGCGTAACCCCCTGCAATTGTGCAGCAGGGCCCCAGCTGGCTGGGGAGCAGCTCTGCTGAGAAGGACTTGGGGATGTTGGTGGATGCAAGCTGGGCATGAGCCAGCAGTGTGCCCTGGCAGCCAAGGTGTCCAAGAGTAACCAGGGCTGTACTAACAGGAGCATGGTTAGAAGATCAAGGGAAGTAGTTACTCTCCTTATTTAGTGCTCATCAGATCACATCTAGAATACTTCCTCCAGTTTGGGGCCCTCCTATACAAGAGGGACATGAATAAACTGGAGTGAGTTCAGCAGTGGGCTCCCAAGCAAGTTGGAGGCTGGAGCACTTGCCCGGTGAGGACAGGCTGAGGTGCTGTGCTTGGTCAGCCTACAGAACAGGTGTTGTGTGCTCATTGAAATGTATTTCTTATCCTTTGCTTTTCTTACCATTTTTTTTTCCTTTTAGATGACCCAAAAAGATATCACATTTGTAGCTGACTTTCTTACTGAACATTTCAATGAGGTAATTTTATTGATTTGCCAAGTACAGTGTCTGACTGTACTTTTGCTGCCAAGAGTTTAATCTGAAAAATCTTATAATAAAATAATTCAGTCTTTTGTACACTACTTCTCATTAACTTTGGGTTTAAATTATGATTTTGTTTGCATTGTTTTTTCAGGCACCAGAACTTTACAATCGTAAAGGAAAATACTTCAATGTGGAGAGAGTTGGCCAGGTAAAGAACTAGGGAATAAATGGAAAAAGAATAAATGAAAAAATCCTTAGACCGAGAAGCTTTTAAAACTGTACCCACTTTTCTTCTCTGTCCCTTTTGCTCTGTGTTGCACATTCCAGAAATGGTAAAGGAGAGTATTTTATTTATTTTTCCCTATTGTTACAAAAAGAAGTGTTTAAAAATGTATCTTAAAATATATGTAAAGTAAAACATAAAGTTCCACCTGGAAGGGGTGGAATATTTAGTTTTAAGACTAGGACATGTTAAATTAAGAAGAAATAATCCACAGACTCGTGAAGAACAATATTGGAGGTGGTCTCTAATGTCCCTTGTTCTTAAAATGCAATCTTACGAATGTCTATTTGTTTTCTAGTACTTGAAAGATGAAGATGATGACCTTGTATCACCACCTAATACAGAGGGAAACCAGTGGTTTAACTTTCTTAAAAATAGTACTCATCTTAAAGGTAATACGTGCTTTAGTAAAAAGTGAAAGTGAGTCAAATACATGTGTAGAATGTAACAAATGTAGAAGAGTAATCTGGTTTTTCGTGCTTATGAGTTATTTCTGTAGTGTTAGTCATGGGTCTTCATCTGAGTAGAATAAAATAAATGGACCTTGTTATTTTACACAGTTGTTATGTAACTGCTTACCCAGTCAATTACCGTTTTCTGGGTAATAGGAGTTTCCTACCTTTTATGTACCAGTCTCAGAAATGTTGGCTTGGAAGGAATCCCAGGAGATGTCTGTTTTAAGAGATCTTAATTCCAGTTCAGGGAAGTAATAATTTTGCTTAGGTCACAGCTAGGGGAGATGAACTGACTTGTTCTCTTTCACTGGAGTCTGAGACTATGTTGTTAATTAGTGATGGAAAAGAAGTAAGAGAGACTATGACAACCTGATGGCGAAAATGATTCTTGTTTAATTTTAGAAACCATAGACTAAAACTTCTACAGCATAAGCTGTCTTGTAAAAGAATTTTCTATAGCTGCCTTTTTCTGTCTGTTTAATTCAATAAAAAGGGGAAAACTGGTAGCATTTTTGTTCAGAAAAGTAATATTTAGAAAATGTATTTTTAGACATACTTTGAAAATATGCTTGACACTTTAAATGTGTAGACTACGTGTCTGGTCATTTCTGATACTACCCAAGGTTTTTTGTTTGTAGAGATGGTTTGTAAGTGGGTTTGTTGACATTAATTTGGCAAGTATCGAGATGTTTATAGGATTATAGGACAACTAGTGCTTCTGTCATTGACACTTTCTACCCTCCTTTGGTGCTTTAAATTGCTTTGTTGGTTGATGTAATTTTTATCATTTTCCAGCTAAACATGGGAAAAGAAACAAGTTGTGTACTTGAAATAAGTAGTGAGATTTAGCTCAAAAGCTAAATGTCTTCTTACAAAGTAGTTCATTTCGTAAGAACAAATTAGTCCTATTGAAGCCAAATCATAGCTCCTATAAAAAGTATTAAAATTGTTTTGCTTAAACAAGTTATTTTATGACAACTGTGTTTCTAGCTCTTGTGTAAGTGCAATTCTGTCTTTATGCAATTTTGAATGGGCTGTGAAGAAGAGCTGGAGGGGCAGGCAAGCCTCCCTTTCTCAGTCATTTATCTCATTTCATATTGTAATCCAATCAGTTAATTGAGTTAGAATTTATAATCAGGGAATAATTTAGGTGGTCATCTGATCCAGCCAAAGCAGGACTGATTTTGAAGCTCAGCTGTGTTCCTCAAGGCTTTGTGCAGTTGAGTCCTTTACATCTGCAAGGATAGACACCCTGCAGCCTCTCTGAGCACCCTGCTCCAGTGACTAACTAGTCCTTGTGAAAACTACTTTCCTTATATCTGATTGGAACTTCCTTTGCTGGAGCTTATAACTGTTACATCTTCTCCTCTTCCTGTGTGCAGCTTTGAAAATTGTGTCTTCTGTAATTCCTCCTTTAGGCAGCTGAAGACATCAATGGGTTGCTTCTAGTTAGCCCTCGCTTCTCTTAGGCTAAAAGAACCCAGCCCCCTCAACTTCTTGTAAAGCATGTGCTCTAACCCTGCAGCCATCTTACTGACCTTCCACTGGACTCGTTCGACTTTGTCACTTTAATAACAGTGTAGTATGTTTTTATAGAGATACAAGCATTTTTTAAACGAGCTTTATCTGTTTACAGAAAGTCCACTTCTGTTTCCCTACTATCCTGAGAAATCACTGCATTTCGTCAAAAGGCAAATGGAAGGGGTCATTGATCAGTGTTTACAAAAGCCAGCAGTAAGTTCAATTTATGTAAACGATAACTTTCTTTTAGGGGTGGTTAGTAGTCATGCTTAGTAAGGCCTGAAGTTTTAAGCTTTGCCTTTGAGTGCCTACAACTTGAGTGGTGGCATGTAGCCCAGCTTCACCATTGCCAGGATGTCCCAAGCCTTTAGCTAGGGAGAGCGTAGTGGGGGATTTTTTTGTTTCACGTCTTCTGTTACCATGTTATTGGGATCTATTTTTGATGTTAATTAGCTTGGCTTACGCGCTGTGTGCTAGATACCTGTGTTAGTTGGCAATACATTCGTCTGTATATTATGAAGAAACATGGAACAAGTGTATCAAGTGACGGTAGTGTTTGCGTTAGGGATGTTTATTCCAGGGTAAACATTGATGGATTTTTCCTTCAGATGTTTTTGTTTGGTTACTTGTTGTTTTTTTTTCCTTAAAAATCTGTGTAATTATGAATAACTGCCTACTTTTTTTGACCTATTTTCATTGTATTTGCTAGGATGTAATTGGAAAGTCAGTGCATCAAGCAGTCTGTGTGTCTCTCTACAAAACTTCCCAAAGGTATTTCTTTACATTATTTCTAAAGCTCAGTTGCACAAAATTGCAGTAGCATTTTATAAGCTGTTTTGTTTTTTCCTTTTCAGTAAAGATTCCACACCTCAATTATTTAAACTACCATTTCTGTAAGTACGCTGCTATTCCTTGTTCTGTGTCATTTACCAATTATTAAAACTTGATCTACATTTTCATTTCTTCCTCCCACATTACAGGTGGAATGACAAAACATCCAATATACATTATGTTCTCTTCACTATGTTAGAAAATTCTATTTCTAAAATATACATTTTGAGGAGACCTACTGATACTTCCAGGTAAGACAAAAAGAGGGAAAAAGTGGTTTGTGAGCTTCAGCACATTCATACAGAGACAATTACGACTTGAATCTATTTGTAAAAAGAAGAAATGAGCAGCATGAATACAATGTTTCTTGGCTACTAGAGAAAATGAGGAGGACACTAGGAAGCGCAGTAGGAAACTGCAGCAGGAGTTTGTGTTGTATTAAGCTCAGAAAATCTAATCACGAGACCCAAGGTGATTTTAGGCTTAGGAAAAAAGTTGGGCTCCCTTAATTTTACTCCTCACAGAATTACTTGCTTGTGCAGACTTGTGAAAAATTACAAGGAATCATGCTTTGTGTTGCTTTGTCTTACTGTAAATATTATTCTTTGATTAACCCCTTGCAGCCTGTAATGTAATACTTTAAGGAAAAATAGGAGATGGACTTGCAGGTGCAATACACAATACATCTCTTTGGGGTGTAGTTTTGTGTCCCTTCATGAGTTCCCGTGTCCAAGATGCATTTTGTCACTGCCTAGTTGTGCTGATACAACTGTTTAAGGTGCATTCTGTCAGTGGGATCACTGAAATTCTTTGTTTCCAGTTGAGAGCTGCTGATGACAAAATTACAGCCTTGTGGTGTTTCTATCCTATTTCCTCCCTCATTGATATCTAAAACAGTCCAAACTCATTTTCTGGGAGTTTGAGTAACAAGTAACAGACCTGAGACTAGGGCAGTTGAGCCAAGAGTTCAGCAAAGAACTGTATCCCACAAGCCAGGCGCAGTTTCCCGTTTGACTCCATTGGTTGCATTTTGCTGAGGGAAGAAATCAAAAGGTTCCCATCCACCAGTTACATAATTTTGGGATGCAGCTGTGTATTGTACTAAGCTTAGACAGTCTTACAACACCTCTTACCACAGTTGCCATTAGAGGTTTTGGATTCTCTGTGAATGGAAAAGAAATTAGTCACTGAGATAATGAACACTGTTTTTCTAGGTCCGTCAGTAATGGAATTCTTGCAGTAGAGTTTGGAAACTTCTTGAATAGTATGAATGGGAGCTCAGACTCCAGGTCAGTATATTGGATTTTTCTTCCAGAATTGCAGATTGCTAAACTGAAGACCATGTTTTCCAGTGTTTATTTTGCATGAAGTTAACTTCTCAGGCGTTGTGGTTTGACTTTTATCCTGCAAGTTACTGCTTCAGGCGCTGGACCAACTAGTAGTCCCTGGGTGAGTCAGGCTATCGGAAATGGCACAGATGCATGATGAGCTGCACTCATCTCAAGGTCAAGCAGATTTTAGTTTTCTGGTTGAAAACCAGAGCTGCAGCACATATGCGAGAAACAAAGCTAGTTGGAAACAGCTCTTGCTTATATCTGTGGTGTTCTTTGTGTAAGATGGAGTGAGACTTGATATGCCTGAATGAAGGCTCCTTAGAAGGCATGGCAGACTAAGCTCATCCTTTTCACATAGAAAGGCCCCACGTGATTTGCCTCAGTACCTTTGGTTGTGTTTCTAAATTTTCCCAGGTGTTTGTGTTTACTGTTTCTTACATTTCACCTGAAATGGGAAAAAATAAGATTACTAGTGAGCTTTTTTTTTCCTTCAGAATCATTTTTCCTGCATGATACGGAAGTCTGCGTAGTCCTGGCTATCTTTCAGTGTCTTAGCTGCATGACTGACCTTTTTTATTGTTTACAGTAAAGCTCACTGTTAACTACTGAATACTTTTTAACATGAATGTTGTGCAACTTAAAAATATTTTAGTTCTGTATTCACTTTTATTCCTTGATGCTTTCTAAATTATTTTCCTGTAGATGCTACAGTTGTTTAGATGCACACTTCTATGATGATGAAACTGTAACTGTAGTTCTGAAGGAGAGCATGGAGCAAGAGGGGAAGGAGAGAGTCTTGGCTCAGCTGCCTTTATCTTCAGTATACACAGATGAGGACCAAGATAGGGAATTAGTCTGGGATTCTACTAAAAGGTACTGAAAAACTTTGAGCAAGTCTGAAAATGAAGAACTGAAAAGCAGATTAAACAAATATTCTGATTGTGTATAGTTACTCATGCTTTGTATGTGTAAATATTTTAAAAACAAAAACTCTTTTTGTGCCAGGGAGAGTGGAGTGGGGAGATGGAACCTTCCTAAACACTTGGTTTTGCTTTTTCGAGACTGAATACTACCTGTGTACGTGACTTTCCTGAAATAGGAGGACCAATGATGTCTTATAGAATCAGAAATCTTTTCTTTAGAGGATGCTAACTTTGCTGGTCAGAGTACTGGAATTCAGGATATTCTCAGCATATTTTCTCGTATTCATCTGCCTTGTAATAAGGATACACAGATTTCTTCATCGTTCCCCTGGTAGTCACACTTACAACTATTGTCAGTTTAGCCTTCAAACATCAGAGTCGATTGTCTCTCTGTGTTGTCATAGAGAGAGGAAAGTGTCTGGGGGAAGTGAAAACACCCACCCACACGTACTCAGACTGCCCATTCCCATCTCCCCAACGTAGTTCAAGTGGTGAATCTTTCAGTTGTTGTGCCTCACTTGCCTTTTCGTTTTTCTCCCTATGCCTCTCTGGTGGATAGCTTAAGATATATTTTTACTTCAAAATAAAGAGCCATACTGAACTGTAAATATTTTTTAAATGCCACAAAGAAACTGTGTATTGAAGAAGAAATGGAAAATATTAAAAGCAAGTTCAAACTAATCCTGGCTACTGTAATAGGCAGGAAGTTCCATCATACAGTCCCTATGAGTAGGAGTGAACTGGAGTGATACATCTTTGAAAGGTCATGGAGGCCAAGCTTCTGTGTATGTGGAGAAATCGCCTCCAGGACTTTGTTGAGAAACTCCTCTTCTTGCAGAGGAGAGATTTGAAGGAAGCCATCCTTATCCCCCTGCTGTAGCTGTTACTTGTGGGAAGATCAGGCTTTACAGTTCCCTTCTCACCTGCTGTAATCTTTTGCCTCAGTTGAAACATACTGTGTCTCCACAGTTGGATCACCCGCTCTAGAATACCTGTAGCAGCATTATGGTGGCTTCAAATGCTTATCTGCTTGTTGCATATGATATAATAAAACATAAAAATCTAGATTGACTGAGGTTTTTCTTAGTACTGGAGTTGTTTCTTATGTAGTAGCTTTGTGTTTTTCTTCTTGCTATGTGCAGGCTGGATGAGCAAAGTGGCGAGATACCCACACATACTGTCTTCTTGGAGAATCAGTGGAGAGTGCTGGAGAATATGAAAGCTCAGTATGTTTCTGTAAATGGCATTAGAAAAGTTTCATGTGTGGTAAGTACAGTGCCTGTAAACTATTAAAGAAAACACGCTATGACTGAAGAGAGTGATAACCTGTTTCTGCTAATTTAGTGAGATTTATCAAACTTTTTTTATCAAATAGATTATTCTCTCATAATCTGTTACAAGTGTGTCAGGATACAGTCATACCTCTCTTGTAACACATGGAAAATCTTTAACAGAAGTTAATAGATCTACTTGCTTTACTTTTCAGCCTGCAGAGCAATTAAAAAAGTTGCTAATTTCCTTGATACCTCCATTTCAAAGATAAAGGCTATTTTCAAAGCTATTGGCTGACATATTTTAAATGGTATTGGTGCTTTTATTTATTTACTTATTAATGGAATCTTCTTAATGTCTCTGTAGCTAAGTTCAAATCTCCGTCACGTGAGGGTGTTTGAGATGGATGTAGAGGATGATGGGGAAGCTGAAGAAGAAGAGGAAGAAGAAACAACTCAAGTTGCAGCTGGGGAACCAGAGGAGCTAAATCAGTCTGCAGATAATCAGGACAATGTGTGTGGTGCATCTGCTGAAGAACTGCCTGATGAAACTGAAGAACACGAATCAAGTCTGGATCCTTGACATAGGCTTTTATGCTGGTAAAGGGACAAGACTGTAATCTAACTTCAGGCTGCTGAGGTGATGCATCCTGTACCTACTCAAGCAGCTGTGGTGGGATGTTGTGTATCAGAATTCTGTATTGCTTCTCAGCTAAGACTGTATTCTGGAGTATGTTTATTTGACCCTTTTTTGTCTGGCACGTGGTTTGGTATGAACTAAATTTCCTTGAGAGCTTTTCCATTTGCAATTTTTTATAGGTAAGGAGAAAAAGAAATACCAACTGACATTTTTGTACTTAACCTGTTTATTCCTCAATACTGTTATTGAGATAAAATGGACTTGTATGTGAAAATAACAAAACTCAGGACTGAATTCTCTTCTTTTCAGACTTCGTGTTCTAGTAATGGGTACAGAAGCTTCTGTAGAGCCGAAATCTAAGAGTGTGTGGCCAACAGGCTTGCAGATCAGCATAAGGCTAGTTAGACAACAAAATTCAGCAATTTTTACTTAAATACATACTTGTAAAAACTCTTTTGATAACGTCCGTCCTCAGTGACACAGTATTTCAATCTGTGCAACATTCGTGTAGGCATTTAGGTTTTGTCAAATGTTTGCATGTCTCAGCCTGCCTAGTTTCTGTGAGGTTGTTCCTGAAAGTCTGTCTTCTCCAGCTGGTATTTTTGTAATAAAAAGTTACAACAGTGAGTGTATATATATTTTTTTTATTGTTATTATTCTGATATGGCATTGTATGTTGTTCATAGGCTTCAGCATAATCATGTTACTTGCTAATTTATATATTGCTGTAGGACTGATGTAGTGCTAAGGAAGAAACAGTGTGTAGAGATCTAAAATGTTTTCTTCCCTACTAGCTGTCAGAGTCTTAACTGACTTAAAACTCAGCTCTTTGAATGAACAGTGCTGCTAAATGCATGATCTTCCTTCGGAACAGTGAGTGTACCTTGTATTTGTGAAGAGGACCAGGTCTTGGGCATGAGCTCCATTCTGTACTTCAAAAATAAATAAGTCTTCCGAATTTGCTCTTTGGCATTGCAAAAATGAAATACTAGACATACCCTCTTTCTCTTGTTTTGAAATATGCCATTTTTAAGTAACTGTTTTTAAAGTGGACTTTTGAATTCACATTTTTGGGGGACACTCTTGTAAACAGAGCTGTTCAGTTTTGAGAGAGACTTCTTATTTTTTTCCGTGCCCTACCAACCTCCTTGAAAGCTGTTTCCTGTTCAGCGTTCTCATCTAACAGATGCTAATTGTAGAAGGCACAATGAAGCTGTAGGGCCAGAGGGACAGAAATGCCCATTCAAAAGAGCTGTGTAGAGCAGTTACTCTTGATGAGAAATTGCTTCTACAACAGAACCCACTCAGCTTAAGCCTGGCCTTGTGTTCTTCCAGGAAACTTTTGCTCCTAATCTAACTTTTAAGAATTGTCACACTAGAGTGCTTGGAAACAATTGTTTTGCTGTGCTTTCTGCTAAGTAGTTTTACTCCATGGGCATATGGAAATCTGATCTGTCCTGCCCATAATTGTTTCTAAATTTGTGTTAATAGCAGGTTTGTCTCGTGCCGCAGGGGCATGCCCTTCAGAAATCTCCCTGAGGTTATTGTGTGCATCTTTCTAGTCCAGTCTTGGATATACTTGAGTCAATGGGAGTTTTGTTTCTGGCTTCGATAAGTGCAGGTGCACTTCTACATTTCACAGTGAAATGAATGCATCCGTTTATGTCAGTGCTTCCGACTGCATTGCTGATTCTTTCTGTCAAACTTATTTTTGTTTTGCTACCAGATTTCTGTAATAATAAACGTGTCAGTTATGTGCTTATTCATCTGTTTTTAAAAGGATGGTAGAAAATACTTGACCTAGAAGTTTTTCAGGATTTTGGTGGTGTCTGGACGTAGTGATCTCACTTGTGATCTTCTTCATCCTTTTCTTGTGCTAACTGAAGGCTCATGCAGCCTTTTTCTGTGGGGAGTTCATTCTTTCTTGATAGTTTTACAGTCAAAAGAACTTTTATATTTTCAGCAAGTGTGCACACAGCCCACTTTGTAATACTAATCTTTAAGTCTCTAAGAATCATTTACTGCTTCCTTTTTTTTTTAATGTCTGCCTGTTTCGTGTGTAGCATTTCTAGTTTTTTAAAGATCTTGGGCAGCTTTATGACTTCAAAACTTGCCACGTTGATGAGTTTCTGCTTCAGTCTCTCACCATGTGGTGCTGTTTTCCTTCACAACCTGGGTGTGCCGTGTTACCGTTGCCTCTCACTTATACGGATTTCGTTGCACACTTGCACCTGCCTTTGTAAATGACCATCCAGCTGCTCAAAAAGACAGGAGCTAGATGGAGAGAAATTGTGAACAAAAGCTTGATTTAGTTAACTATTTCTTTTTGCAGAGGGGAGAAGGGATGTGCATTTTTGTAATAATAACTACAGTTGGTCCTAATGCTGCTTGGCTTTGAAAAACCTACTTAAAAAAGCTTTAACCCCACATGTAAACCTTTATAGTATGGGAGAACCATCTACATAAGTACTTCAATTCTTTAGTAAATTTTGGTGGCCTGTGTTTAATATCTGTAGTCAGAGTTGGCTCATGTGTCTTGTTGCATACTGCAATAAGGTCTGAGAAGATCTTTCTTGCTTCCTTAAACTAGCTGTTTCTCTTGGGATTGTGACTCTAATTTCTTGCTTCAGAAGCTGGTTTAGGGGAAGAGCTGGCTTAGCTTGTGCCATGGAGCAGTGGTAGCACTCCAAGAAGGACGTTTTGGAGAGAGGAAGAAAGACTTCACCATGGATCACTTAATAAAAAGCAGTAAGGAGAATTCATATGATTGAGGAGAGGGAATGAAAGGAATTGTCACAGGGGGAGTGTCAAGGATGGAGATGCAAAATGACATAGAGGTCTTTATGGAGAATGCCACTGTGGAGGAATACTAAGAAAAAAACACACCACCTCTGGAAGTGGAAGAGAAGAAATCCCACTTGCAGGTGAATGTAATGCATTTAACGTTACCTTTGGGTTAAGTAATAGAACTGCTGGCAAATCAGTCTGGAGACCCTTGGTGCCAGCAAAGTCCAGGGTTGAAGTAAGTTATAATGAGATATAAATGTAGTGTGGATGTTCCATCATTCTTCCCCCAGGGGGTATTATATAGCTACTGTTTCTAGCTGGCAGTTCTGCAGCTCTGCTAGCAGCTCTGTGCAGGTGATGTAATCATGCCTGCTCCTGTGAATCAGAAGACCTTGGGTGGTTTTCTGCAGTTCTGACACTTAACCTAGAGGGTAAAGACAAGAATCCTATCAGGTTTAGTTCTTAGAATTCTTACCAGGAGCCCTGCCTCCTAGAGTGAGCCTATTCATGCTAGGAGGGGGGAAAAAAAAAAAGAACCACTTAGGGCCTAATATAGGAAATAAAATACTCTTACTGTCATACAAAAGGAATTCATTCCCACATCAGTAGAGCTCTTGCATGTTGGATCTAGTGTTGGCATTCTCTTAGTACGTCACTGAATCTGTTCTGCTTTGAACAAACCAACTATTGACTAAAATGTTTGATTCTGTAGCGTGGAGATCAGGGTGCATGACAGCCACCTGAGAAGGTGATGTTCAAGGCCTTCTTCCAAAGTGACCAGAAAATGGGATTTGAAAAAAAAAAAAAAAAACCAAAAAAAACCACCAAAACAAAACCTCAACCTTTTTCTCACCCTAGTGATTCTTTTACAGATTTAGAGGAGCAGTCATTTTTCCCTGTACTTTTTTTTCCTAAATTAATTATTAAAATTAAGTCTTCAGGGATTGATTTTTGCATCTCGTAGTTCTCAAGAGAATTCATATATAAGTTCTGTAATGAAGACTTGCCCTCAGGTGCACTGAAAATTGTTCTCTTAAACAGCCACTACAGATAAGACCCACAGGGGCAAAGGTAAGGAATTTGTTCATATGGTCACATATTTCTTTTATGCTGTTGAGGTAACCTACGGTTTCCTGAGGATAGCACAAAGACCAGTGCTTTCAAATGTTGCAATAATCTGAAGAACAATAAACTTTACCTTTCCATATGTTGAATTAACCATATTCCCTTCGTCGTGGAATCCTATTAGACCAGAAGCAAATGGACAATGCTTTTTGCTTTCTCTTTTAGAAAAGTGTGGTGTTTGTGACGTCCCTGCTCTTGCAGCTGATCTGTACTAGGCTCAGTGCTCCGACTGCTCAGCTAATGTTCAGAATGCTGAAACTCGGAAGGAGGATGGAAGGCATCAGTGGGCACTGTGGTTTTCAGTAGTGCGTATTAATTTTGAAGTGATGCTATTTTGATCAGTTGTGTGAAAAATAACATACTATTTGCCCTAATTTCTAGTTATTTTTCTAAAAAGTATTATTAAGGCAGGAAAATAAACTAGTGAGTAAAGCAGATTAGAATTGTTGGGTTTGTTGTGGTATCTAGAAATAAATCTCTTGCACATTAGTTTATTTTCTAGAACATTTTTCAGTCTATAGTAATCCCTTGAGAGAGATAATGTGGAATGCAAATGGTCTTATTAGACTATTAAAAAAACTTAATATTGGTAGACAACCTGTTCATAACCTATGGCTGAATTATGTTTAGTTCACTTCTTGTCTTAAAATACTGTGCAGTTCTGCTGTGCACTGAAGCAATTTCTCTGTTTTGTTCTGCAGTAAGTTACAATTTCTTTAGTTCCCTTCCATGGTTGGTGATCACTGAAATTTTTGGAAGATTGCAATAGATATGTTAAGACTAATACGAATGGGAATGTCTGAGAGTTGGAGGTACCAGAAGGAGCAGCAGCAGCAGCAGAGGGGCTGTAAGAATGTCATGTGTTGAAGTCACTTAGATTAGCAGGTCATCAGAATCCTTGCATGTGTCTACGTGCAGGTGGTCAGGATGTGAAGGACTTGAGCAAATGAGCAAACCCTCATGACTCTTGGAGGCAGGGCAAGATGGACAGACTGATTGACAGTTCCTAAAGGTACAAAAAGTCCTATCCAAAACCAGCACACAGTTGCCAGTCTAAGAAGAGCCCAAAGTGGTAAGAACTCAATAGCTGATGTCCCTTTTTCTATGTTGTCACAAGGAGTCCTAGACAGACCTCCTGGATTCAAGAGCCTTGGCACCTGAATTTTG